CACACACACACACACGCACGCTGTCATTTCTTTGCAAGAATGTACGCACGGTATTTCTAATTAACTCGAGTTTCGCGACAGCAGTTCTCCCTTTTACTTCGGCGTTACGCGACGAGATCACGAACGCAAAGGCCGTCGCGAAACGCAATTCCATCTGCTGAAGAAGAAGTTGACAATTGCATCACAGTTTAGCGGGCGAACACGGTTGTTTGAGTGTTTATAAAACGGCGCATCATCGTGGTAAAAATGTTTTTACTTGCCGCATACCAGACGAGAAGCGAATAGAACCGCACAAAGACTCCCGACAACGAAACATGCACACACAGTTGAACGTCGAGCGGAAGTTAATTTCATGAGCATCGAGCTGGTAGAGAAACGAAAAGCAACACCAGTTGATTAGTTCCCGCGAAAGGGATCATTTGCATGAAAAAATTAGAGGAGGAACAAAAGAGTTTGAAGAACGCGTTCAAATATTTGTGGTTTCTATCAACAACTAATTAAAATCGCTGTGAAAAATTCAGTTTCATTGTTTCTTCTATTTACTTTTATTTATTATTAGACTGCGGATTTTTATGGATTTTGAAGATGCAAGAATGCATGATATCCAAGAATACATAGAATATTCAAACTAGAGTATTTGTTGTAACATTTAGCAGGTAAAAGAAATTCCTTTTCACGTTCCATTTCCTCGGTTATGTTTGAAAAATTTTTTAAATGTACAAAAATCCGCAGTTTATTTTTTTCATCTTCAGCTTCTCCACAGTCTCAGCATATTATTGACACAGATATTAGTATTGCAAATCTGGAGATATGCTGCAAATGATCATGAATGAATAATATCATACTTTTCTCTCCAGATATATGATAAAGTTAAACAATTGCAGAAATATTGAACATCACCTGTGATACAAATGGCAGAGATAACATTGAGAAATAAAATGCTCATACAAGCTAACACAAGGGCGCATCGCTACGACTAATATTGAATTTATTGATTTATTCCACACACACTGGTTTTAATCCTAAAACGACACTGTTTTATTTTTCGGGTGTATATATACATATGACATTGTGGAGTTGCGAGCAATCGGAAAAAAAGAATTGTAAATATTATAAACATTATTGAATACTTTCGAAAAATTAGACCTGGCATTTTTTTTTCTTTTTTTGGTCTAAGGAAAGGAAGTCAAAATAAAAAAGTGTAAATCATATTTAAAAAGTGTAAGTGTTCCTCTGTGGTAACTAAGTTAACGTAATTAAGTTTTACTTAAAATTCTACATATCTCTGAATTGTATTGGCTGTGCTGTACAATCAGAAATTGTTTTTATTTTTTTTTCTTTTTTTTTTTGGTAACATATGACCGCAAAATGTTAACACGTTGTTGACCAGTTGCGAGTAAACTCGTGTTTTCATGCACGAATGTTGTTTACCAGTGACAAGTTATCTCGTGTTTGGAAAGTTGATATAGAATAGTTCCCGCATAAAATTGCTGGTCAACAATATATTAAATATCGCGTAATTTAAATGAAGGAAGAAATAAAAAAAAAAAAGTAACTGCTTTGGATACCAAATACACAACATTTTCAATGTAACTAAGGGATATTAATCCTGCTTTGCAACTA